TATGTCAGCATCTGTGCCTCACAAAGTGGTAAAAAGAAGCAGGCAATAGGGCAATGCCTTGCCCAGGTTCATGCAGCAGGCCAGCCACAGTCACCAGGTCCTTCCTGTTCTTTGGTGTTAAGACCAGACAAAGCATTGGCTGATGCTGCCCTGTCTGTGTTCGTGGCAGACATTACTAATTGATCACAGCACTCTCTCAGTCCAGATGCAGCCTCAGATTCCTTCTCAACACAAGTGTCTCAGTACAGCCTTCACCCACTGAGAGTTGGTGATCGGGGTGACACCTGTTCACCAATCTCCCCAGACTTTCAAATCTAGTCTGATCTTGTCCCTGGCCAGGGGCCCAGCACACGGAGCAAGTCACAGTAATAAACATTTGCTGGGTGAGGGAGGGAACAAATGGTGACCACTGAATGAACATCACTGGCCAAAGCTAGTTGGCTAAGGTTTCCCGGGGCCTCCAAGGCATTGCAGCAGAGCTGAAGGACGACTCCGGGAGATCAGGTCCCCGGGGCCACATACCGCATGACACAGTCAGGACCTGACCCTGCCTGCTGGCCCAGTGCTCTGCCCCTGACCCCATCTCAGTCCATTGTTTACTATCTCGGCCAGCTGGACTGGACCTGGGTCTCACCAGGGGACATCATGGGTGTCAAGGACAGATTCGAAGGACGAGAATGGCAATGGATTGATTAGGACCTTTCTCGTCCTACTTGAAATTTTAGAATCACAGAATAGGGGAGAACACGGTGCACCCCCTTCTTTGTCCATGTCGGCCTGGATGGGGGTCGTCTAGAGAGCCCGGCTGAGGTGGGTCTGCGCAGACCAGTGTCAGAGCCCCTGCGATGTCCTGATGTCCTCTCTCCCTGCATCCTGTGAATGCAAAGTAAGTTGTTTATTTACTGCCTTTTTTTGGAGGGAGGGAACCTGGGCACCTAAGGTAAGATTTGGCTCAAGATGGTTGCACATTAAACACTGGATGGGTGGATGGAAGGAGGACATGAGTGAGTGAGTAAATGAGTAGAAGGATGGATGGATGGATGGATGGATGGATGGATGGATGGATGGATGACTGTCCCCCGCTGGGAGGCATCCAGTGACTCAGGCAGGGAGGGACAGAGGAGGGACTCTGAGATGTGAGCAGGCAGGTCCCCCCAAGGCTCCTTCCCCCCTTCCCAACATTGTCATTAGGACACATCTGCCATACCGGGCCCCTTGGCCCCTGCCCCAGAAAGATACAGACGCCTCTGCCAGCTTTATTAAGGACCTATTAACCCGGTGCCTTTCAGACCCGGGTTACAGAATCCAGCTCCAGGCAGGGCTAAGGTTGCTATCCCTGCAGACCTTGGTTTAGAGCCCAGAAGGGCTCCAGTGGAGAGGCTAGGAACCTCAGGTCACTGCAAGGCTTTGGAGCCACACAGGGCTGCCTCCTTTAATCCTAGTTCCTCTGCTAATCGGCTGTGTGGCCTTCCGCCACTCACTTGCCTTCTCTGAGTTGCCGCTTCCTCATATGTGAAATTGGCTAAAAATGTGTTTGCCCAATAATTCACTGAGCGAACGCATTATATTGCTCAACGCAGAAGAAACCCTTGCTATAAACCAGTAACATCCTGAGGTCCCTCTGGAGCCAGGCAGGGGGGAGCGCTCACCCACATCAGCCACACGACCCTTCCTCTGGGATGGGCAGGTGCTGTAAGCCTCCCTAATTTATGGAGGAGGAGGTGGTGATGGGGCAGGATTCAAATGCAGGCACAATTCAAATGGACGTCACAACTGGGCAATTTCCTCCCTGGCTGCTGAGCAGGAACAAAGCCTGGGCCGGTGGGTGGGGCTGGAGTGGAGCCTCTTCCACCCCGACCCCCCCACCCCTCCTCCAGTGCCTTGAGGTGACGGCACAGCAGAGCAGAGGGGGAGCCGGGATAATAACAGAGATTTACAGTTTCCAGCGCAATTAACTGCACCATCTGGATGCCACACATCCACCTGGGTGTGTTAGGGACCCCAACCCTTCAGCGTAAGTGGCAGGAAGGGACAAGGGGGATGGGAGAGGGTTGGGCGCTGTGGGTCGGTGGCAGAGACTGCGTGGGGCCCACCTGACTCTCCTCGAGCCGCCCCTCATGTGCCCCCAAGGGGATCTTTCACTAAGGGAGCTGGGTCCCTGCCAGTTTCCGAAAAATCCAGAATGGCTGAACCCAAGGATGCAGAGGGAGCCATGGCCTGAATCGGGAAAAGATCAGAGGATGTGCAGTAACACGATGCTTGCTTTCAGGGGTGCGTGACAGTCCAGGCCTCGACCACCTTGTGTCCTGTGCCACCTTCCGGCCTTGGGATCCCCAGCAAGGGGCTTCACCTAAGGCCCTGTCCTCTCACCTGGGAAATCAGGAGCATCCTGGATGTATCGTGGTGGTCCTCACGAGGGCTGATCTGAAGGCTAAATTAGGTAAGGAAATGTCCAGATCCCGGTGTAGGGCCTGGCACCGGGTAATTCACAGCCAGTGGTTGTTGTGATGTTGTCCCATTTACCAGAGGGGAAAACTGAGGTCCAAAGAAGGTAAGTGACTTGCCTCGGGCTGTACTGTCAGTTGGTGGCAGAGCCCGTGACAAAGATGGACCAAGGCTCCAGGGTGGCAATCTGGGTCACGCCAGGGAGAGTGGTAAATCCCTTCCAGTTCCTGTAACAGCTGTCCTGTGCTGAGGACCTACTCTGTGTCAGTTGCTGCTCGGAGCTTTTATGCATCACTTCAAGAAATGATCAGAACATGGGAGGTGGCATGTCACTGTCCCATCATCCACGTGCTCAAGCTTCAGGGGGCCCTAGCTCTGGCTCTGAAGGCCTGGTTCTCAGCACCAGCTACTGTCCTTGGACAGAAGTGGGGTCTTCTCCTTGCTGTAGCAACTGCTCCCAGCTGCCTTCTAACTGCGTCTTCGTTTCTTCCTAAAAGGAGAGGGCTGATAACGATGCTAAGTCGGCCACAGTGGACCCGAAGTCTTCTGGACGTCAGACAGAAGCTTCCCCTTCAGGGTTGGGAACCCTCTCCCACGTGTGGAAAGGTGGCAGGAGGAGGAAGGAAGGGACATTACCCCTTGTTCTCCATTCTCTCCTTCGCTCCATGGAGGCTGAGTGGCCCAAACCCCCCAGCCAGTACAAGGCCACACAGGAGACCAGGCTGGCTGGGGGCAGGGGGAGAGGAGACGAGTGGGAGGTTTGAAGCAGCAGTCCCCTTCCCCCTTCCCCCTTCCTCACACACTGGCTGCCTACATTCCCATCTGGTCAACCTGGGCACTGCAAGGCTGAGTTCACCCCCATACAAAAAACAAAAGCCAACCCTTTCCATGAGAGAAAACCCCAGAGTCATGGGTTACTCTGCTTGCCTTCCCTCTTGGCCAGTGTGACCAGGGCAGGGGCCAGTAAAATGACAACTGTCCCACCCAGGGGAGATAGGTCCCAGAGTCCTTGGCCGCCCCCCACCCCCACCTCCGAGCCATACCCTGGGGAGCAGCCCTGAGGGCCTAGCACCCACTCGCATCGCCCCTGCCCGCAAGGAGCTGTGCCAGATGGGGAGGCTCTGGCTCATGGCCTCTGTCCCAGCTCCGCAGGCCCCGTGACCCGTCCTCCTGGGACCCCCTGGCCTGTCCGTCAGAGATGACCCTTCCCCTTCCCCGCAGAAACCCAGACCTCCGACCCTTATTAAAAACAAACCAAACAAAATCTGGAAAGAAAAAAGTCCTCCACAAACAGTCTCAGACACACGCAAACACACACACACACACACACACACACACACACGCTCTCACGTAAACAAGTTGTTGGAGAGTGCTTTTGTTTATGAAACATTTAGGTTTCCCTCAACTTCCTTGCGGGAAGGGGGTGGACTGTTTCAGAGTTTTCTGGCGACCAGGAAACGGAGACGGAGCCTGGGTTTGGCGGGATTTCATTGCTCCCTCTGAGCGCTCTGCCGGTTAGGATCTGGGGAAGGGCACGCGGAGAGAAAAGGAGCAGGGAAACCCGGGGCGGGGGGCATCCCTAGGCATCGCCTAGAAGAAGGCCCCTACCCCCGGGGGCAGGTCAGGCTCAGAGAGCGGCAGGCAGGCCAGGGATCCCCTCGGCGACCCGGACGCGCGGCCCGGCTCCGGGAACAGTGGGGAAACCGGCTGAATCGTCCCTGCCCCCTCGGATCCGGCTTCCAGCGCCGGGAAACCGACGAGCCGGCCAGGAACAAAGGCGGGGCTGCCTCCCAAAGGCGGACGACAAACAGTTTTCCTTTTTTTATTATTATTTTTTTTCTGCACCCTAGCGCGCTGCCGGGCGGCTCCAGGGTCCGGGCGGCGCCGGGGCTGCAGCGGGTGCCGCCGCGCCGCCCGCGCGGGGCAGGCCCCGGGGCGCATGCGCGGGCCGGGGCGCAGGAGGCCGCGGCCGCCCGCGCAGCCTCGCTCGAGCCGGTCTCCGTGGCAACGGGCTCGCGGGGGGAGGGGCCGGGCAGCGTGGGCTGCGGCGGCTGCTATTTCTGCCGCTTCCTGTTCCTCGCGGCCACGTCGCCATGGCAACGGTGTTACTCACCGCGGCCGCTTCCCGGCTCGGCTGGCGCGCGTGACCCCGGCCGCCCGCGCCCCCTCGTCTCTCACTTGCTGCGCTGCAGCTCCCCCCCGCCTCCCCCGGCGGCGTCCTCCGCCGGCGCCCCGGTCCAGCCAGCGCGCCCCGGCGCCCCAGCCTTCCCCCTGCTTCCCCGCCCCTCTCCGCCGGTGCCCGCGGCCCGGGAGCGAGGGCGGAGGGAGGCAGATTGATGGGGGACGCTTATTAAAAAACATTGTAACCGTTTCCGTTTTTATTACGTTGACGAGGAGCGTTATTTACTGTTATTGTTTGCCGAGCGGGCCGCGCCGGAGCGCGGGCGGCCTCCCGGGAGCTCACCTTTCGGGCGGGCCCGGGGAAGTAGCGGGTGGGAGCTGGAGGCGGGGGTGGGGGGGGCGGGGCGGCGAGGGGGCAACCCCCGGGCAGACGCGGCCCCCGCGGGGGTCCTGCCCCTCGCCCCTTCCCCCCCTCGCCCGCCCGGCCGAGCCCCGCCGCGGGGCGTGTGTGCGCCCGGAGAGACTGCAGAGGCCGGGGCACTCGTGCTGAAGGAGAAAGGCAACAAAAAATAAAAAAAGGAACAGATGACTTCATTCTCGGGAAGGCTCCGTCCTACGTGGACCAATTTCCTGGGGACTGTGGTGGAACAGCTCGGCTGCCGTTGGAAGCACTTAAAACTAAACCAGATAAAGACCAGAAAATTCTCAGCATTGCCTGAGCCGAGCAAGGGCAGGTTGGTGGTGCGTGAGCCCCGGGTGTGCAGGGAGGAGGGTCGCAGTCCTCCACCCCCGCTGGGGCTTGGCTTCCAACACACCTCCCCGCCTCCCTACTTAGACTCCTGTACCCTGAGAGGGTGAGCAACCGCCCCAAGGTTACACAGCCAGTTTTTTAAATTCTGCTTAGACACCCGCAGGGACAAAGCCGGCAGAGGCTGGGGAACGAAAGCCAGTGGCTGGACTGGGAGCCTTGGATCAGGGTGAGGCTCAGCTGGAGGCCCAGCAAGGCAAGATTAATTCGGCAGGTCTAAGCTCGGCTGGCCTGGCTCCTGCTTACCCCACCGGAGCCTTCAGCTGGGGGGTTTGTGGGAGGTGAGTCCACAGGGATCTGATGGGCCTGAAGGACGCCCCCAGCCCCCAGGCCCCTGCTGGGATGCTAATCTCATCCTGCTAATTAAAGTTTGCAATTCTGTCCCTAACTCAACTCCCCACTCTTGAACATTATTAGCTGAAAGGCAATTGCTGCTCCAGACAGAGGCCAGAGGAAAAAAGGGACTCTGCAGTTCACATTATAAAAAGGATTTTTAAAAAGATGTTTATACTTATAAACCAATGACTCCTAATGAACAGACCAGGTTTTGGAAACTTAATTTTCAGAGCCCCACACCCCACCCCCACCCGCAACCTATTTTGAGTTTTTATCCCCCTTCCAAGGACAGGAGGCTTGGGATTTGGTCCCTGTAGCCTCTCCTGGTCTCTTGGCCTTAGATAATCAGCCAGGGATTTTCCAGGCCCCGGATCTCCTCTCCAGCTCTCTGGAGTCTAAAGCGACAATCTGGTCCCCAACTAAAGCCCCTGGGTCGGGGTGGGGGGGGCGGCAGCAACATAAAGTTATCTTCAGCTCTGTCCGCAGCACCCACCAGCTCTCAGCTTTGGAGCCCTCCCTGAATGCATGAATCAAAAGTCATAGGCTCCAAGAAAAGAGAGTACCCCCACCCCCAGTCCTTCCCCAGTCCTTTGCTGCCAGCTCCTTGATATGGGAAGGCAGCACCGCCCTCCACTCCTCCCCCTGGGCTGGCCTTCCAAGCAGAACTCATCTCTGGCAGCCAGTTCAGAGTTTGGCGGATGTGAGACTCCTGGCCCTGGGCAGTGTTTGAACAGGACTGAGATGACAGATGACACCCAGCATCATCCAGAGCGAGAAGGACCTTGGAGATGATGCAAACCAACCACTCCTGCTTCCCTATTTTACAGGTGGGCAAACTGAGGCCCAGAGAGGGGAAGAAACTTGACAAGAGATCTGCCACTGGTTAAAGACGGAACCTGGACCAGGACCCAGGAGCCTCTCCTCCCTTTAGAGTGCTCAGTACCCTTCTGTACCCTCAGCACCACTCTGATCCTTGTGTAGAATTATCTGCACGATCAGAAGTTCAGGAGCTGGAGGGCAGGAGGATCTGAGGTCAGACTGCCTGAGTTCAAGTACATACGTCTAAGTGAGACCCGGGACAAATGAATTCTTCTCTCTGGGCCCCCACGGTCTTATGTGTTAAGTGGGGATGACAGTACCAGCCCTGGGTTGTCTTAAGGAATAAAGATGCTCCAAGAAAAGTCCTGGGACTAACCCTGGTACATACTAATACTTAATTAATGGTGGTGATGTAGCTGATGATGGAGAAGGGGGGGGATGCTGGTGGTTGTCATGGGTTGAATGGTGTCTCCCCGCAAAGATACATCCACATCCTCATCCCTGGAACCTATGAATGTGACCTGAGTTGGAAAAAGGATTTTTGTAGATGTCATGAGGTTAAGGATATTGACGTGAGATCATCCTAGATTACCCAAGAGGGGCCTCGGCGCCATCACGAGTGTCCTTATATGAGACAGAAGAGAAGAGCGGGATACGGAAGGGGAGAAGGCCAAGTGCAGACTGAGGCAGGGAGGGGAGTGATGCAGCCACAAGCCAGGGAACACCTGGAGTCCCCTGAAATGGGAAGAAACAGGGAAGGATTCTTGCCAGGGTCTTGGGAAGCAACACAGCCCCGCTGACCCCTTCAATTTGGCCCTCTGGCCTCAAAGAGTCTGAGAATGATCTTCATTTCAGCCACCAAGGTTGTGGTAGTTCGTTAGGCAGCCCCAGGAAACCAATAGAGTAGGGATGCCGGCTGGGATGCCGCGGTGACAGTGGCCGTGACAAGGGCAGTGCTGGTGATGGGGAGAGTGGCTGTATTCATTTCCTGGGGTTGCCTAACAATGTACCACAACCCATGCAACTTAGAACAACTGGAATGTAGTGTCAAAGAGTTCTGGAGACCAGAAATCCAAATCAGCAGGGCTGTGAGCCCTCGAAGGTGTGGGGGGAGGGGACCCGCTCCAGGCCTCTCTCAGGGCTTCTAGGGCCCCAGGGGTCCCTTGGCTTCTGCATGCCTCATTCTCATCCTCTAGTGTCTGTCCTCCAGTGGCGTCCTCTGTGCGTCTTCTCATCGTCTTCCCTCTGCATGTGTCTGACCGTGTGTCCACACCGCCCTTTCTAGAAGGACGCTGTCATATTGAATTAGGGCCCGCCCTACTGATCTGATCTTAGCTTGATCACCTCTATAAAGACCCTCTCCCCAAAAAGGTCACATTCTGAGGTGGGGGCAGCGGGGTAGGACTTCTACATGTTTTTAAGGACAGACAGTTTACCTGCTAACAGCGGTGCTCTTGGAGATGGTGGTGGAAGGGTGATGGGGTGGTGGCAGAGATGGGACAAATAAGAGAAGGTGATGGGATGAGGCTTCAGCCCTGGACCCCAAACTCTGCAGGAGCTACCCAGGGACAGTGGCCAGTTCGCAAGGTGCTCCGAACACCAGGAATCTTCCCGCAGGGAAGGGCTGTCTGGAAACATCCAGCCGAAGGAGCAGGGAAACGGGAAAGAGGACCCCAGCACTTTGGTGCCAAGTTAATGCCATTGGAAGAAGAAAGAAGAGCCAAGCACTTTTCTGGAAGGCTCTGCTGTACCAGCTGTGAGGCCTCAAGCAGACCCCTTCACGTGCTGGTCTTGCATTGGACCTGATCCCTGGGAAGGACCTGGTTGCCAAGAATCATGTTCTGGGGCCATTTCAGGCCTGGGGAGGAGCAGGGATGGGGGTGGGGTCTCCCTCTGCTTCTGCCTCCTCCCTCTCACAGAGCCAATAGCAGAGGCCAGCCCAGCCTCAACCCCAGAAAACCAACTGGTCTCCGGCAGAAGACAGGCAGACTCAGGTCACTGGTGTTTTTCTTACTAGACACAATCACATTACCTCCTCTCTCAGCCTGCTTTTCTCTAGCTTTCGAAAAGGACAACTGATAATGACCACAGCCCTCATTCATTCATTTTGTGTGTCTTATTATGACCATCCATGAGCTCACGCCCTTGCCAGGCACCATCCCATGCCCCAGGAAGCAGCGGGCAGCAGGATTGGCTTGCCAGGCTGGCGTGGCTCATGTTCTAGGGAAGAGAGAGACAAAGAACAAAGAAACAGGCCCATCCCAGGATCCAGGGAGGAAGACGAGGGAAGGAAAGCAGGTGATGAGGGGCTGGGCTGGAGTTCTGAAATGAGGCTCACTGAGGTGAGGGGCTGACCATGGACCCGGTTCAGGGAGGGAATGAGCCCCAGGAGAGGTCTGCAGCAGGAGGGACAGCGAGTGCAAAGGCCCTGAGGTGGCACGTCTTGCTGCCCTGAGCCGTGAGGCAGACCAAGTACAGGTCACCTTGAAACCTCGGATTTTTTTCTACGTATGCCTAGGAGCCCATGCAGGGCGGAGGGCAAGAGTGAGCCCAGAGAATTTCTGGTTTCTGCGAGCAGAGCACAAACTGTAGGGGCCGGAGGGAAGCTGGGAAACCAGTTAGGGGCTGATGGAGTCCACACAAGAGATGGTGGTGGCCTGGTCGGGGACAGCAACGATGGGGAGATAAAAATGGCTGGATGTGGGGTGTATTTTAAGAAAACCCATCAGGATTTGCCAAAGGATGGGCCGTGGGTGTGGAAGGAAGAAGAGTCGAGGATGACTGCGTCATCGTGAACAGTGGGAGGTTCCGTCTCCGGAGATGAAGAGCGGTGGGGGTGTGGTGGGGAATCGAGAGTTGGCATTTCTGAAAATCCTGTCTGATCCTCCTAGGGCGCACACTTAGAGCTCTCACACACTGCCGCTCAATCCCCATAACCCCCTGAGAGGCAGACTCTACTAGTAGCCCCTTTCTCAGATGAAAAAACTAAGGCCCAGAGAGGCTAAGTCATTGATGCAGGCGTGCAAGCTGGTAAGGACACCACCCAGGTCGTCTGACTCCGAAGCTCATTCCAAAGCTCATTTTCTCACTTGTTCAGTGGTTTCTTCATCTGCCCGTTCATTCATTCATTCATTCATTCATTCACTGCTGTGTGTGCTCTATGCTAAACCTTGTTCTAGGCTCCGGTAACGCAGCGATTCTTTCAAGCTATGCACTGGGGAGGCACTGGGAGGCACTGGGAGGCACTGGGAGGCGATGATAAGCAAACCAGATGCAGGCCTGACCTGCATGGACCTTTCTATGGAGGAGAGAGCCAGCTGACAAGCAGAGAGAAGCCCAGAGAAAAAGACGCTCACAGACAGTGCTAAGTGCCATTGTGGAGAGTGGCCTTGTGCTGGTTCAAGGCCAGAGAGGGGCACACGCTGCAGAGAGCTTGGGGCTGCCTGGGAGGGAGGGAGACCGGTCAGAAGCAGCCCAGCCAAGAGCAAGAGGAACGGCCTTCCCAGCAGAGGGAAAGGCAAATGCAAAGGATCTCTTGGGAGAGTCAGGAGGGGAGAGGGCCTGGGAGTAGACAAGGGGACTGAGAAACCAGTCACCAGGAGGAGGCCAGCTTGTCCAGAGGCAAGTGAATAGGGAAGAAAACCAAAGCGGGGGAGTGAGGGGGGCTGGCCCCACAAAGCAAGCGGCCCTGGGACCCCAAGAAGGGCATCGAGGGAGCAAGGACTGCCAAACCTGAAACGTGTGTGCGCAGGCCATGACTGCAGGGGAGAACAGGAGAGGGATGGCCCAGACCCCGAAAGGGTGAGGCCCACCCCCCAGGACTTGCCCGTTCTTGAACCCAGGGCTGACTCCATAGCTGTGCCAGAAAGCACCAGACTATTTCCCACCGGGGCAGAGTGAGGCTCAGAGGACAGAGCAAGTGGCTCCCCCTGGTACCACTGAGTCCGATCTTCCAGGGAAAGCCAGGCTGAGCCTGGGTCAAGTGACTACTCTCTTGCTCACTCCTCGAACAACTAGTCATGCCTCAATGATTCCAACCCATCCTGAGAGGCATCAGGGAAAAAGCCCAGGTCCCTTCATCAAGGTGACGATTTATAAATACGGGTAAAGTCCCATAGAGGTATGGGTGCCATGGGAGCAAGGAGACACCACCGGCCCAAGGAAGACGGGTTTCCCTGTTGGAGCTAGAACGGTAGTAACTCCTGCTTTGGGAGACTGAGCCCTATTGAATGTTCCTTAAGTCTTGGGGTCCTCCTGGCTCCCACAGTCATGGGGAGGCCCCTAGTGAAGAGGGTTCTCAGAACCTTGGTCCCCCTACCCTCTCCTTCCCACACTCAGCCCTTCCTCCCAGCCCTTGGCTGCTTTCCTTGGTCAGCTGCCCATCTGGGGACAAAGCCAGATCCGCAAGCAGGTAACGTCCCAATGCCCGGGACCTGTGTCAGAGCCAGGGAGGGGTTTAAGACCCCTACCCCACCCCCGCCATAGTCGGGGAAGGCTTAGCACCTGCAGGCCCTCTCCCTTTCTCCTCCCCACTACTCCATCTTCTGCCTGGGCACACAAAGGGTTGCGGGGACTGGGCCCCAGAGCTTCAGGCCCTGGAGGCTGAACACTTCTTGTGGGACAGAGGATAGAGCTAAATATTTAAAGACAGAGCAGCTAAGAACAACCTCTCCCGCTGAAACCCTCAGCCCAGCTAGTGTTCCCCGATGATCTCAGCGCACCCCTCATTGGGGTTACTCTCATCAGCCCCCTTTTACAGAGGAGGAAGTAGAGACTCCGTGAGTCCAGTGACTAGCTCGGGGGTAGAGGTAGGACTCCTGGCCGATGACATGCAGCTAGGGTTGGTGAAACGATGGAGAAATGGGGGCGTCAGGAGGGCGGGAGCAGCGGCTCCCACAGAAGCCCTCGCGGTGGCCCTCTGGGCAGGCAGCTGAGTTAGCCTCACGCTGCAGGCGAAGAAACCCAGAGCCCTGGGCAGGGGGCGGCGGTGGGGGAGCCCGTTACCCCCCGACATCGCACAACTAGTGAGGGGGTGGGATTCGAACCCAGGGCTGTTGGGCTCCAGGGCCCAGCTCCCGTGAACCTAGAACAGAAGGGACAAGTGAGGGGAGCGGTAGGCCTCACCGTGTTCTGCTGGTACCTAGGTGGCCGCAGGGCATGGAATACCAGGCCCTTCCCTGGCTGCGCTGGTGGCCGCCCCAGGAGGCCTCATGGCCTGCGCGGCTTCGCTCTCCTGTGACCGTCTGCGCCCCTCCACCCTGGACCTAACTCCCCTGTCCTCAAGGCTGCCTCCAATGGCCGGTCCCTGCATTGTGATCGTGCTCCGGAGGGCACTCTGGGGTACTGGCCTTCCAGAAGCTTCGGCCTGCTCGGGGGTGTCCCTTGTCCCCGAAGCCCC